CACCGCAGATGCGACCGGTAAGCTGAACCCCTAACTCACGGATTCTGTCCCACAACCCTGGAGCCAGCAGCCACCAAAGCCCAAATTCTGAGGTCCAAGCCTCCACACCAAGCACCCTGAGCCCTTGCAAGGCCCAAAACCCGCAAGCCGAGCCCCCAAAACCCGGGAAGCGAAACTCCAACCCGAAACCCTAAACCCTAAACCGGAGGCACAGAGGGGCAGCTCGGCATCGAGCTCTCTGTCGTGTCCTCAGTCTTCAGATACTCAGCCTGGGAGTCCTTGGGTTGAAGGGCCACGGGGGTTTAGGGTTTAGGGTTGGGTGTAGAGTTTAGAGTACTTTAGGTGGAGGATTTACCCCTCCTGGGTAGGATTCAGGGCCAGGGTCAGAGGGCTGACTAGAGGCGGTGGAGTGATCCTCGGCCTCTTAGCGGCTTTTCTTCCGGAATTCCACGCACCTTACTAAGCCTTCTTGCCTATCATAAAATGCAAAAGGCTACTGAGTCTCACGAAAAATCAATGACCCCCATCTCAGACATCTCAGGCATATAATACCTTGCCCGCACCCGACACTTCTTCAACTTACACTTTGATTGTCAATCCCAGCTCAGCACCCTAAACTCTGAACTGAGTTCGTTTTGTTTCCTAAGCCCCTTAACCCTATACACGCCCAAAGCCCTAAAGCGCTAGACCCCAAACCCTACTTTAAGGACCAAAAAGCCCTTAAAAGTAAGGGCCCTTTTCCCTTCATAGTCAGAGTCCCATAGATGAACCTTAAACCCTTCTAGGGTTCATCTCGTCTTCCAGGTATAGCCGAAAGACCCCAAAGAGCTGCTCAGGAGTTCGACCGGGTTCTAAGTCCGCTTTGCGCTGTGTCGCAAGGCCATCTCGGGCGATCGGCGCTTTTCTTGTGTTTAGGGTTTCGGGGAGTCGGCTTTATCGGGTTTTGAAAGGGTCTGAGTCCTAGGGTTTAGTATGGTTACAGTACTTAGGGTTCAAGGTTTTAGGGTTCAGGTTTCATGCAGGCTTTTGGGGGCATTAAGGGTTTAGGGTTTGGCGCTGCTGCGGCTACTGCTGCGATCTTTGGGCCGGCTTCATAAGCCTTGACTTGACGACAATATACTCCGCTTGCCTTCATTTTGACGAGAACTCAGCTCGCAAAGCCTTGTTTCTGACCGGCCCCTTATAAAGGTGGTTGTGGGATCCTTTGCTTGTTTCTCCCTCCTACCGCCTGACTTGGACTACGACGATGACGACTGCTACTACTACGCGCAGCTGCGCCTGCCGCTGCTGCTATTGTTAAAGACATATTTTTCGAAGAGGCACCAGCTGTACCGATGGGTGGTGCCGATAGAGACGGCTGTAAGGCGCCAAACCGCAAGGCATTGAATCCCAAACAGGCCCTCAACGTTAACACTACCTTGAACACCTACGCCACTCAATACATCAGAGAGCCGAGCAGCACTTTGCCGAAATACAGGTACGATGCCTTTTTTCCGTTTATTGCGGCTTCATAATGTTCATGCGAAGACAAGAAATGTGTCCGAAATCCAGGCACGCAGTCTAACTCACGGACTCACAATTCCGAGCCCGAGGCTGCAACTTCGAAAGCCCGGGCACCAACCCTCAAACGGCAGGAGTTCGAATGCCCTATCTATATCTAGATCTATATCCATATTTACATCTATATCGATATAGATCTCTCTCTCTCTCTCTATATATATATATATATTAAAATTATGTAACTAGAAAGGAATCTTGTCTGCACTCCTTCAATGTAAAGTAAGCTGCCTAAGCTCTTGGTCCCTTTGCTGCGCACTGCCAGAGCCGACTTTGTCCAGGCGCGTGCCACGTCGCAGCTGGAGCCGACCACTCCGTTTACCTTGACAGCTACGGTTGGAGCCCCGAAAGTCATAGTTTAGGGTTTAGGGGTTTAGGGTTTAGGGTTGGAGCCCTGAAAGTCATAGACTCCGATATCGCTGCCACAATCAACATTTTCCCCCCGAAAACACGCAAATCAATGAAAGGGATCTGAAATAACAGCCCGGGATATCGGAGCCTCCGGATTCGGATGCCCGATCTTTTGGGTCCCGAGAGATTCTACCACTTCGGATGGGATGCAGGTTGTGCTTAAGCCGACCCCGCAGGCAGCCCAAGGGCAAGAGCTCACCGACATCCCAGAAAGGCCATGAACTTGAGGACCCTCAGACGCTCGGTCCCTGAAGCTCTGGTCTGACGGGCCTTGCATAGAGGATCATGGGACTTAGAAATTACCCATAGGCCCCTAAGTAGTTCCTTTTTGGGATTACCTTATAGGATTCTAAACCATAAACAGCAACTACTTAGGGACCTATAGTAATTAGGGTTATAAGTGAGGTAGCTATGGTTATATTTAGTTATAGCTCCAATTAAGGTACGTTTAACGTTACTTACTAAGTCCCATGATCCTCCAAGTGAGTCCAAGAGGCAGAGAGTCCTGGTAGACATCGACCTCGGCCCAAGCAAAGTGAAGCAACAAACAAAATTAAAAGCAATGGTCCGCAGTCCTACTGTTGGTGATATAAATCCTTAGCATTACCTTATGGACCCTAACTTATGGGAATTATGGTATATTCCTTCTTAGGGGTATTGCAGGATTTCTATCATCAACCGTATACCAGGCTCCTGGAGCCCGTAAAGCCCTTCAAAAATCAATCGTCCGAGCCGAGCCCCGCAACCATAAACCCTGACTCGCGGCAGAGGCCGTGCCTTTGCCTTCGGCGAGAACTGCAAGGGCCAACTGGGTATTGGCACTTGCCCGGGCCCCGGATCTCGGAGCTGGGAGTGCAGAGTTGCGCTTTGGGTTTGGAGCTTGGAGTTTAGAGGTAGAACAGGCCCAGGCTTGTCTAAAAAAATGCTGTGTTACTGTATCCCAAGGCCATAAGCCTCCCTAGGCCCTAGGCCTCATGAGCATGAGGCCTCGGGCCCAAACGCTTCGCAATTCATTGCAGCCGTGGGCTTTGTGGGTCCAACTGCGGCTGAGAAGCTGCTGGCTGAACTCAGACGTTCGATTTGCTGTGGATTTCACTTCTTCGTAGCGAATCTACTACTCCTGCAGGCTCCTAGAACTATGAAGCTGTAGTTCCATGTAGTTCCATGCTGGCGCACTGCTCGGGGCCAGGGTTGCAGAGTTTCAAAATCCCCTGAATCTGCAAAATCCGTGAAAGAACCTCTCCAGAGGCTGAAAACAAGCCCGAGTCCTGGACCCTGAAACCTTAATCCTTGAACTCTCCACACCTCGTCGGCCAATCCGAGGCGAATCAGTGTCCAGCCCTGCTATGGCAGCACCGGCTTGCGTTGTAGGATTCTTTCAAGGGCAATTAGACGGATGGTGTATTGCTTAAGTCGTCGTGGCACCGGGCATCCGAGATGAGTCAATGTATCGCAAATGCCCGCCGTGAGCACACCTCAATCCAGAAGACAGGTTGCACTGCCTGCCGGCACATTGGTTGTCGATGTGGATTGTGGCGGGACCGCGCAGCTGCAACATCGCAGACACAGTGACTTACTAGTTGAAGGTGTTTGGCCATACCTACAGTCTGAGCGAAGCCTAAACAATTACCAACACTATTTTGGGGGTTCCTTTTAATAAGTATAGTATAGCGGGCCCCCAAACCCTATTCTAATTATAAAGGCCCCTATATTAAGCCCTCTGCCGCCTACGCCCTGACTTCATAGGATCAGCTCTTCGAGCCTTTAATCACAGCTAGAGCAACAACCCTGGCCTGCGGTCCCCCGAGCCTTCAATAAAAAGGTCAGCCAGGATGTGCCGGAGCTTGTGGGTTTAGGGTTTATGGTTTAGGGGGACCCTAAGCTCAATGATCATCATCCTCCTCGAGTGCGAACCTTCAGCTGCCATGCTGGGAAGTTCGAAGTTCGAAAGAAGAGCCGCAAAAATGGATGCAACCTGCTCTTGGAACCACAACCCCTGCATCACGCCACATGCGAATGTGTCCCCCAACTTCGAGTTGAAAAACGTGACCCGGAGACCTGGACCCTTGAAGCCATGAACGGATCGCCCGGCCGGGCCCGTAATTTGGAAGCCTGCTGGGCTACCCCGTCAAGGATCGATGGGTCGACAAATCCAAAGCCTCAAAGCAGTTGAGAACCCCCGGAACCCGATTGCCACAAATCCGAAGTTCAAGATGAAGGACCCATACTCTCCTCCTCACCGACGACTTGCGCGTGCTGGGCTGCGGGGGAAATGAGAAGGCCTGCGGCCTGCTGCCTACTGCAAGAGATGCAAGACATTCTCAAGGCCTTGAAGGCATATGGCTAGTTCTCTAAATTAGGGTCCCCTATTAGGTCCCCAATATCGTACGGCACCCTAAAAAAAAGGAGGAAAAGGGACCCTAGCGTAGAGAGCTTCCCATATTGGGTTCGCGCATAGAAGGTTTCGAGGGACTCTCTGGGCCTTCGGCACAGCGTCGGTCGGGCTTGGCTTGAGGATGCGGGATCTTCCAAGGGCTTCGGAAAGTATGACCCGAGAGCTCCAAAGACTCCTTTGTTCGGCGAGCTGGACCTGATAAATCTGAAGAGCCTATCCAGCTGAAGATTGTAAGAATGCATCAACGCATGTTGCTTCCGTCGAGAATCAGCAGGATGAACCCAGGAAGACATATAACAGATTGAGCTCCAACAACTACATACTACTCCTGGCCTGGCGGTACCTCTATCAGGGGTTCAATTGAAAGGGAATTCAAAGGTCGTTCCCAAGAGTCCTGCCACTTGATGTGCAATCAAGGCTTCTTGTTCATCTACTCTACTCTCATCAACCTCGCTCTCCTGCCTTTCACTCATCTTGCTGTGCCTGGGTGGTCAACAGGACTGGCAAGGAGTATGAATCACCGAGTGTCTAGTTAGGGTTGCGTGTTGGAACCCGTGGCTCCTGGACTCCCTATAAGTCGAGGGTGCACAGGGAGCTGATCAGCCCGATGATATATAGTGTGACAAGCTACATGGCCATGCCGTTCTGGGGTCTCCGGTTCATGAGATCCACACCCAACCTTCAGCTCAGCAGCAGGCGGTGTATTTTAACACTTCGCGCCTCCAACTTCCCAGAGATATTCGACAGAAGACCAAGCACTGCCGACGCAGCATTTGCAGGGGATCCGCTTTGTCAGCTGGAGGCGTCCAGACGCGGGAAAGTCATCCAGAAACTTCTGAGAGACAATTCTGCGATCTTCTCTCCATCGGGCACATCGTCAGAAGCGCCGCGTGGACTACGCGTGAACGGTCAAAGAAGAGCGAGGCATCAGAGTGAGTTTGATTGGTCGCTTAATGGAAGGCGCATGGAGTGTAAGAGCACCCGTCTCGCATGGGATCCTTCGCAAAGCCGTTGGTTTGCCAGATGGAGAGCTATCAAGTTTCGTAAGGAGGACAGCAACAGCGCATGTTCCTTCGACGACTTAATTTTGGTTTTGCATTCCCCATTTAGGTTGGACATTATCATGCACGACTTCAACGCTTTTGTCAATACACAGGGTGATCGCACGCCAACGATTGGACACACTGTTTGTTGCAGAGCTTCAGCCGCATCAACTGATGCGCTCCATGCTTCAGAAAGTATCATCCAGAAGCTGATTCAGCACCCGGGTTCATGCCACCACATCGCATCGTTTAGAACCGACGCAGAGCCAGTGACAGGTGCTGTGACGGACGAACTTAGCACATCGAGTTATGCGAAGTCGTGGGGCCACTATAGGAATGCCCCTCTAGCCGAGCTCTCCGCAGCTTCAAGGGGCCTTCTCCTGCAGGACCTGGCCTACAGGATTGACCAGATGCTCCATCCGTCCAGTGCATTCGCACTCAGCCCGGAAAGCGAGGAACGAGGAATAAGACGAGGAAGTGCGGACTGGTGCCGAGATGGCCGCCTAGTCGAGTTCAAGAGCTCGAAGATATCTTGGGTAGATTCGGCGCAAGCCTGGAGGATTCGATTCTGTTGCATCAAGGACACCTTGCACCGCCCCGATGGCTTTTCGCCTTTCGACGAACTCTGGCTTGGAATATACAGTCCTGGGGCCTTCTACTTAGTTCATCACCGTGGAGATTTTGCGAAGACCAGCAATGGAGTAGCAACTGCGTGTCTCGGGCGTGCAATTGTGCTCTCCACTCCCTCTCATGGTGCTGATATCTCCTTAGCTGCAAAGTGCTTGTTGGCGAAATTCGAGTCAAACGGCTGCAAGCTTCTTGCACAAGTGGTGTGGTGATTGCAGTGCCTAAGCTGCCAGCATGCGACATCTGTCTTGAAGAACCAAGTCTTGTTGCATGGTGCAGCTATCATTCCCTCTACCAGCCATGGCTCGAGGCAAAAGTGTTCCGAAGCGCACCTGCGGGATTCTTGAAGCCTCCCTTGTTGCCGCATATGTCTAGAAATGGGTCAGTAACCGCTCGATCCTGGACTTTCTTCTCTAAAGTGACAGGCTGAGCCTGTGTTCAAAAACTGACGTCACACCTACGTGGTCCGCCTGCTAACCACGCTCTCCTTTGCTGAGGCTCGGAAAATCCAAAAACCCGAGCCCGTTAGTGTCCCCCAACCTAACAGCCACACATCAACCACGAAATTGAGCAATCTTGAGCAAGCGACTGTTGAATCGTGAGCCTCGGGACCACAAATCCAAGTCGGCCCAAGCCTGAGACCACTCCAATCGACAACATCTTAGTTACGACCATGCCTTGTATCCCCCAAAGGCCTCATCCTTGTACAGTCGAAAGCCAAGAATCCTGCGGACTCCGGATTTTACTCCTCAGATTTCAACCAACGAGTCTCTCCATCACCGGTTTCCTAACCCCTCAACCCCAAACCCTAAACATTAAACCCTAACCTGAACTCCACCTGATCCTTTGCAGGGGCAACTAGGCCTTGGCTCCAAACGCGATCGCCACGCGCGGGGCCCCGGCATGTCAGAATAGGCTGGTGTGGATGGCTTCTGAAGGTTTGGAATCTAGAGCTTTTCCGGTGTAGGGGTAGGGTTTGGAGTTTAGAGTCTGGGGTTTAGGGCTCAGGAAGGGTTCGGGATAAACAAGGACGTCGGCTTGTTTTTTTTTGAACCTCTTGCTCGATGGGGTTGATAGTATTACTTGGGGTCGCTAGGTTGAGGTTCTCGGTCGTTCCATGAAGGCGGCAGCCTGAAAAGCAGAAAGCTTAGATCCGCCTCATGGAAGACACAATGCCCCCGGGTCCACACCACCCGAAGCTCAGCACAGCACCATTCTTTGTCCGCCGCTTCAAACTTGCTTAACGACCTTTGTTTGTGTTTCATCAGCAAAAGCCTTCGAATCCTGGGCCCTTCCAACCCTGGGACTGTATCAGGTTCCTGAGCCCGTGGTGCTTCACCCAACTCGGCCGTCGCGTGCCGACCGCCTGGGGCTTGAGAACCGTGGGCAAAAGCCAGTCGTTGAGTTTGGGAGCAGGGCAACTCTGTTGCCGATGTTGCAAGCTCTAGTGGTAGTTTTGTTCTTTGTGACATCGTCACCAACATCTCCATGACCATGTTATCATCAGACTGTAATGGCCACAGCTAGTCAATGTCATCGCAGTCACCGGCACCGTCAACATCACTAGCACCAGCACCATCATCATCGTCATCGTCATCATCATCGTCATCATCATCATCATCATTACCATCATCACCATCATCATTATCACCAACATCACCATCACCACCAACATCCTCGTCATGTGCATCGTCGGTTTCGCTCCCGTCATCGTACCCATCGTCATTCACGGAAATAGTGTTGACAATAGTATCGCTATCGATAGCAAGGGTTAAGTTCGATCCAGACTTATTCGCAGACCGGAGTCGGATTCGTCAATCCAGTAAATATTTTCAGCTGCTTTCCGCAGCTGATCAAAGGCACTGTTGCGGCTTGCTCCTTGTAGAAGCTGACCTCTTCGAGGGCTGCAGGTCAAACAGTTATCCCAACTGCTGCATGCAGAGCTTGAAAGCCGGTTGAGTTTCGTTGCTGTCAGTGTTGGCATGACTTTGCCAATCATGCACAAGTCTGTCGAAATCTGAATGTTTTATTATGCATCTACCATCCTCCTATCTGTCTCTGCTTGCAAAGCACGCCCTCGAATTCAGCGGAAACGACGAGAGAGCGTGAGAGCGAATCGAAAGACTTCCCGTTCTCCGATTCCAATGTCTCATACCGAAGCAGTCCCAAAGCTGCAAACTTATATATGTTTGATGCACTCAGGCATTAGCTGCGGTTTCAGCCACTCGGTGGTGCTTTGGCACGGAAGCGTCTGGGCAGTGACCTGAGTTTCTTCATCCGATTCCATAAGGCCCATAAACCCAGACTCCTGGACACTAATCCCAAACCCAGGTGCAGGGCACCGTTTAGGGGTAGTCCTGACCCAAGAGCTTAAGCCTTAAGCGTCACGGGTAAACGCTACACCTTAATTCCCAAACCCCTAACCTGATATGAGTTCTGACCCTATATATCATCTGAGACCTTGGGCTGCAGATGATCTGAACCAGGTTCTTGGCGGCCAGGCGCCGAAGGATGCAGGAGAGGCGGGCCCTGGGGTAGAGAGTTTAGGGTTTAGGCTTTAGGGTTTAGGGGTTTTCGGCAATCAATCGGGTTAAGGCGTGCAGAGTTTAGGCTCTACTAAATCCGAGCCTTCCCGAGTGTTTCTAGCCTATCATGACATTTTGGGGTTGTGACTGTGAGGCATTGGGCTGTGGGATTCGGAAGGAACGACCAAGCCCCCTCAGAAACCCTGGACTTGCTTATCAAAGTTGCTTTGGTCGAGAGGGCCGACCTCCGGTGAGGATGGCTTCGGGGGAAAACCTTAGACCGAAAACCCAAAACCCCAAAGCCATAAACCCTAAACCCCGAAACCCCAAAACCCCTAACCCCAAACTTTGGCGAAGCCCCTAAACCCTAAACCCCTCAAACCCTCAGCTCCCAAATTGGAAAGATACGGTTGATGATATATATCCTTCATTACCCGATTAAGGAATATACCATAATTACCATAGTTTAGGGTCCTTAAGGTAATGCTAAGGATTTATATCAACAAGAGTAGGAGCCGAGGAGTCTCCGTTGTAGCTTTCTTACCTTGAGGACCCTAATCTATGGGGATTAGGGTGTATTCCTTATTAGGGGTAATGCAGGATTTCTATCTTCAACGGTACGAGGCCTTGCGGCCCCGCTTCGGCCCCGTTCCTCGAAGACTTCGAGGGCCCCTGGAGAGGCCATGGCCGGCAGTTCCTTTAGGTCTTTAGGGTTGTTTAGGGTTTTAGG